TATCACGCCGACGCACCCGACGCCGCATCCGACGCCGCTCCCGTCGGAGCTATCACGCCGCGCACCCGACGCCGCATCCGACGCCGCTCCCGTCGGAGCTATCACGCCGCATGCAGCGACGGCCACGCCTTCGCCCACCGCCCGGCCGCCCGGCAGGGCCCCATGGCGTGGTGGCCTCTTCCCCCGCCCGTTTTTGGCCGCTCGCCTCGGCGCGCCGCCGCGCCGTGCACGGTGCACATCTTTGCTGCTTGGCAGAAGTTGGCGCGTTCTCCCAGAGCCACCCCCGCGCGCGAACTGGCTTCGGCGGGCTGGGCTCCCGTCGCCCCCCTTCCCGCCCCCCCCCCGCCCGACGCACTTTGCCCGACGCCTCTTTCGTCGGCCCTCCAGTCGGCCTACCCGGCGCCTCGCTCGACATCTTACCCGACGCTGCCCTTGTCGCCCTAGCCTGAAGTCGTGCACGTCCCTCTGCAGGGGGAAGCTTAAACAATAGTTGAAACATACAAAACAGTCTGGGGACGATTTGTGTGGACTATTTTTGATTCTTGTTTAAAACGTTTTGGCAATTTTTCATTTCTCTTTCAAAACCGTCCTGTAGGAGGAAATGCCCGACCTAACCCAAGCCAGCTCCGTGTCCGAAGCCGCTTTTGACGCCGCTGCTGGTGCGGCCCCCGACACAGTTTCCGACGGCCTCGCCGACCTCCTTACCACGATGCCAGAATCAGAGCGTGTCAGACCTGCGAACTCTGGAGACCTTCTTCTATCGCCTGGCGATAACGGGAGTGACTGGAGAGGGGGAGGAAGGGGGCAGGATCGGTCACTGGCGTTACCGCGACAAAAGAAACAACGAGTTCTTGGCAGATGATGGAGCCCGACGCGACCAGCAACGATTCAGGCGCCCTTTACCACTCAACAAGTGCAGGCACTTCGAAGAACTCGCGCGCGGCGCGCGGGAGCAGGACCCGCTGATCAGGAGGGAAAAAAACACACAGACACAATTAATCGTCGATCCCCAGGAAAATATGCGAAAACATGGGAAGTGGGGGGGAAGACAAGAACCTAGAAAATATGGGAAAATATGGGGAAACTTTTTATTAGTGTGTACTTATTTGTGTGTCCTGGGGCCCCTTGAGCCGAGCTGGGCCCCGTGCCCTCTCCTCCCCCCTTGCCTCTGTGCCTCTGCCCCCTTCCCCTTCCCCCCCCCCTCGCCTCCGCTCTCGGCCGGCTCCTCCCCCTCCCTGCCTGTGTGCCCCTCCCTGCCCCCATGCGGCGTGGTGCCTCCCTCCTTCCCCTCGGCGCCCCCCCTCCCCCGCCGGTCGGCCCGCCGCCCCTCCTGCCAGAAGACAAGAGCCCAGAAAATATGGGAAAATATGGAGATTATTTTTATTTGTGTGTATTTATTTGTGTGTCCCAGGGCCCCTTCACCTTCGGCTGTCGGCCATCGCTCCTCGCTCCCCGCTCCTCGCTGTCCGCTCTGCACGGCCTCCTCTGCCCCCGCCCGGCCGGCCCCTCGCCGTCCCGAGCTGGCCGCTGTTCGGTCTGCCCCGCACGCCACGCCCGCTTTTTTAGGCTTCAGCCCAGCTTCAGTTCGCTCTGCCGGGCCGTCTGATTGCTCTCGAACGGCCGCGCCACCCGCACCGCCCGCGTGCGCCCCAAAAGTGTGTGTGTGTGTGATTGTGTGTGTGTGTGTGTGCGTGTTTGCGTGTGCGTGCGTGCGTGCGTGCGTGCGCGCGTGCGTGCGTTCGCGTGCGTGTGTGCGTTCGCGTGCGTGTGTGCGTTCGCGGGCGTGCGTTCGCGTGCGTTCGCGGGCGTGTGTGCGATCGCGGGCGTGTGTGCGTTCGCGGGCGTGTGTGCGTTCGCGGGCGTGTGTGAGTGCGCGCGTGTGTGTGTGTGTGTGTGTGTGTGTGTGTGTGTGTGTGTGTGTGTGTGCGTGCGTGCGTGCGTGCGTGTGTGTGTGTGTGTGTGTTTGTGTGTGTGTGTCTGTCCGTGTGTGTGTGTGTGTGTGTTTGTGTGTGTGTGTGTGTGGGCCCATCGCGGACCCCGGCTTGTACACCGCCGAGCAGCCCGACACCTTCCTGCGCACCGTCCCGCCCACGTGGATCCCTGCCCACGCGGCGGATCCCCCCCCCATCGCAAAAGGCGCGGCGTGGCCCTGCGAAGCACCCCGCTTCGAGGGCTCCCTCCAGGCATGCCCGCCCACGGCCGCGACCACCCGGGGCGCCTCAACACCTGGCGATCCCGGGCGCCCGGGCGCCTCCACCGCCGCCCCACTTGGGGCTTGGAGCAGGGGATCGGCTACAGAACTGATTTACCCCAATTTATTCTCTCGTTGAATCTGCAGAGTCATCATCATCATCATCATCATCATCATCATCATCATCATCATCATCATCATCATCATCATCATCATCATCATCATCATCATCATCATCATCATTAGCAGCAGCAGCAGTAGCAGCAGCAGCATGAGCATGTGCATGTGCATGAGCATGAGCATGAGCATGAGCATCAGCATCAGCATCAGCATAAGCATCAGCATCAGCATCATCAGCATCACCATCATCAGCATCATCATGATCATGATGATCATCATCATCAGCATCATCATCACCATCACCATCACCACCGTCATCGCCATCGTCATCGTCATCATCATCATCATCATCATCATCATCATCATCATCGTCATCGTCATCGTCATCGTCAGTGTCATCATCATCATCATCATCATCATCATCATCATCATCATCATCACCACCACCGTCATCATCACCATCACCGTCATCATCATTGTCACTATCATCAGCATCATCATCATTGATTTACCCCAGAATTTATTTTACCGTCGAATCTGCAACAAGATACGCAGCCATGCTGGTGGGTCCACATAACCATCTTTGTATTTTGTTGTAGGTTCGACCGAAAAGCATCTTCTGGGGTAATCGGTCAATCCTGTACTCCAGATTTCGTAATACAGGGACGGGGGTCTCATTTCGGGGGGGGTCTCTTCCAAGCTATCTTGGAGGGCCCGGGGGGGTCTGGGGACGATGTTTTGGAGGGTTCTCCCACGGGGGGGGTCTGAAATGGCTTGTCTTGGAGGGTCCAGACCCCCTCCCTTTTATTACGAAATCTGGAGTAGCCGATCCCCTCGAGGGCTGTGGCGCGCCCTGCCCTGGCAGCCCCTTGCCGCCGCACGGGTATGGCAATCGCCTCGCCATCCGGCCCAGCTCGGGGCTGGCCACACCGCGCCGCCTCCGTCGCACGCCTGACCCGGCCCGAGGACCTCCCTGCCATAACCAGCCTAGAACGTGTCCCTATCCCTAAGATGGGCGAGCAAGGAGCGAGGACAATCTCAGGGACAGGCCCTCAGAAACTGAGGGAATCCTTAAGATTGGCATCGCGGTGAGGTGATGTCAAACATAGGGATAGGGATATGTTTCAAACTGGTAATACCACCTCTTCTCTCGGAGGGACCAGCGGGCCTTCCCCTTCTCTTGGCGTGCCCCAGCGACCCTTCCCGGGCGCGGCCCACGTGGGCCTCCTGTCTGACCGATGCCAGTGCCAGAGCTGATCGCCGGCGCTCCGTGGTTCCCTCCCTTCCCTGCCTTGGGCTCCGGGGCCCCGGTTTCCCGTCTCTGGCGAGCAGCTCCGAGCCCTCCCCCCGCCGTTGCGGGCTGCCCCTTGGCCTGCTGTGTGCTGTCTCTGCCTCCTGGCCCGCCCCTTGGCCCAGCCCCCCCCCCCTCGCTGCCGCCTCCTTGCTGACGGCCTCGCGCTGCCATGACCGTCGCCTGTCTCGAACCCACCGGCTGCCTCGGCTGGGCTGTCTGCCTGTCTCCAGTCAACCCGTATAGTAGCGATGCTCGGTAAGGATGCAAGGGCTTTGGGCGCCCATGCCGAGGCTCTTCGAGCGGGGCTGGTCATCGAAAGTGGTTGAGGATGGACCGAAGATGACCGACGAGGCAAGGATGCCAGAGTATCCTTGGGAAATCGATCATACTTACTATGCGGGTTGACTGTACTATCCGCCGCTTCCCACGTGACGTTGCACTTCCACCTTGCGCCCCTGCTTGCCCCGCGCACTTCACTTTACCTCTTCCTGCCGCCACTCACCCCCTCACCCCTCTCACTCTCGTTCCCCTCGCGTCCCCCGCGAGTGACCCGGTTGATTCCCTACGGGCGGATCCCGGTCCTCGCTGCGTGAGCTGGCCCGGCCGCACGTGCGCTCCCCCTCGCCCGTCCATGCCGCGCCGCCGCGCGCGTGGCCGCGGTGCCAAAAGTGTGTGTGTGTCTGTGTGTGTTTGTTTGTTTGTTTGTTTGTGTGTGTGTGTCCAGGCTGCGCCTGGCCACTCTGCTCATCTGCGCGACGCCTGGGCCATATGCTAGCCAGGTCTTGCCGCTTGCACCCGCGTCCGCACTGCGGTCGACGCCCTCTTCCGCAGACTCGGAGCACTCCGCAGCGCGAAGGCCAGTTCAACCCCCTGCCGCTGCTGGTCCTCGCCGCCTTCTCATCCACGATGCTGGATGCAGTTCATTTGTATGCGCCCCATACATCCATTCGTAGCAGCTCGGTGGCGGAGGAATATATATATATATATGTATATATGTGTGTATACGTGGTTGTATGTTATGTGCAATGTTCTTGAGCGTGCTTCTGTCAGTGCTCTTGCGACAGTGACGTCATGACGCCGACAGAAGAATAACGCGCGCGCGTGCGTGTGTGTATGTTTGTGTGTGTGTATGTTTGTGTGTGTGTGTGTGTGTATGTGTTTGTGTTTGTGTTTGTGTGTGTGTGTGCGCGTGTTTGCGATTTGGTCTGTTCGTGCGATTGTGTGTGTGCTCGTGCTTGCCTTTGTCCACGCGCCCGAGCGTGCTCCTGCGTCGGTGCGTTCGTGTCAGAGGCCGGGGCCTCTTGGAACCTACGGCTGTCTCTGGTCCTCCCAATGCCCCCCCCCATTCTCCTCCTCCTCCTCCTCCTCCTCCTCCTCCTCCTCCCACTCCGCCAGCACAAGCGCATCAACGCCCTGAACCTGGAGCCCGGCCTCTCCAAGTCCAACGACAGCCTGAGCAGCGTCCTCAGCGGCGTCAAGGAGGCGAACCGCGGCAACCTGAAGGACCCCGAGAGCATCAAGAAGGACGCCGCCTCCCTTTCTCCAGAGCTCCGGCGACCTGATATTTTTGGCTGATGCCGGCCCTTCTCCTCCCAGAGTGGGGTCCCCCCCTGGGGCTCCTCTCGGGTTTCGCTCCTATCCTGTCCTGGTCCCAGAAAGCCTTTGGACATGCTTCATCATCATGGGCCCGAGAGTCTCTGGAGGCTCTGAAGTAGCATCACGCTACCGGAAAGATGTCTGCGAAGTTAATTGGGAACATGACTGATCGCCTTCTCGCGGCCCTCTTCGGATCGTTTCGCACAAAGTTGCCTCAAGGGCCCTTTTGAACCGTATGGTAGCACCCCGGACGTGTTCTGGCTTCTTTGGACGCTGGGGCCCGAGTCTGTGACTTAGTGATCGGCTTCAGCCAGTCCTGGTATGGGGCCAGGAGGTCCTCCAGTCTTGGGAGGCGTCCATCCGACGACGACGACGAAGACGACGAAACGACGAAGATGGCGACGACGACGAGGACGACGACGATGGCGCGCCCCAAGAGGCGACGACGACATCAAAACGACGACGACGACGACGGCACGCCCCAACAGGCTCCCCAAGACGCCCCCCAAAACCATGTTTCCAGAAGACTTTGTGGGACCCCGATTCATCAGGCCTCCGCCCCCCTACGCAACCATCTTCTCCGAAAACTTTCAGGAATACGGATTGACACGCGTGGCGCTCTCATTGCCAATGATGCGTTTAGCGTTACGGACACTTCCTCATGTCCCGTTCAAGCATTTCGTGGTCCACTACTATAGTGGTGCAGTGAGCTCGTCAAGGCCTGGGGATAGTCACCACATACATTGCACTATATATTGCGCAACGTAGGTTGCACCGTGTGTGTATATATATATATGTCTATATATGTATACATGCACATAGTTATGTGTATCGCACCGCCTCGATAACATCGCATATATTGCGTATCGCATAATTAGCACACCACATTTTTGTAATAGTTTGCACACCACAGGCTTCATACACCACATATATTGCATTCCATTGATCGCACCGCATAGGTCGCAGCACAGCAACTCGCCTTTTCGAGCCTCCGACGCTCCGAGACGGCCCAAGGGGCCCCCACCATTGCTCCAAGATGGCCCAACAGGCCCCCACGAGGGCCCCAAGGCGGTCTAAGAGGGCTCCAAGACAGCTCACAGGGGTCCGAAGACGGCCCAAGAGGGCCCCAAAACGACCCCAAGAAGGACCCAAGAAGGAGAACACGAACCGAGAGTTCGAGCCTTCCGCCTCAAGAGGCCCCCCAGGGGGCCCCAAGAGGGCCAGCAGAGGTCCCCCAATGGGCCTCCCAAACGGTCCCCACGAGGCTCAAAAGAGGCACCGCGACTGCCCAAATGAGGTCCATGAGGGTCCCTTGTGAAAAAGAAAGATGTCACATGCGACGGCGTTCCTCCTCTTCCTCCGCCTCCTCCTCTTCCTCCTCCCCATCAGCATCGTCATCCTCCTCCTCTTCCTCCTCTTCCTACATCCCATCATCATCATCATCATCATCATCATCATCATCATCATCATCATCATCATCATCATCATCATCATCATCATCATCATCATCATTATCATTATCATCATCATCATCATCATCATCAGCATCAGCATCAGCATCAGCATCAGCATCAGCATCAGCATCAGCATTATCATTATCATTACCATTATCATTTTTATTGTCATTATCATTACCAGTATCATTATCGTTTTCAGCATCATCATTATCATTATCAGAATCATTACCGGTATCATTACCATTATCATTATCATTGTTATTATTTGTTTCAATATCATTATCATCGTCATCATCATCATCGTCAGCATCATCATCACCACCACCAGCACCACCACCATCCCTCACCCATCTTTTCTTTCAAATATCTCCTTCCTGTCGCACCCCGAGACGTGTCAGTAGGGCTGGCCAGGCGTTTCGATTGAGACATTTTCACAGTTTATGATTTTTAAGCTCAGAAGCTGCAACAGTTTCACGGGTGGAGGGCGTGCGGTTTCCAAAGTGTGGCTCTCGTTGGAGCGCGGCGCATATTCAGTCATTGTAAGCGTGTGCAGCAGTTTCTAGGATTCTTATTGTTGACGTCTCAGAAACGTTGTTTCGGCACGATGTGTGATTTTCAGGGCGCAACAGTCAAGCTGATTTGCGGTGTTGACGTCCCATGGAGGGTGTTTGGCACGATTCAGGATCGTCAGGACGCAACAGTAAGGTTGATTCGCGGCGTGGAAGGTCCAGGGATGGTGTTCTGGTACGGCTCAAGATTTTCAGACGATTGTTTTCCAACGGGGCACTGCCTTGAGTGGAACTCATATTTTTTGTAGGGACCTATGAAGAGGGAGCTTGGAAGGAGGGTGTATTGCGACATCGTTGATGAGTCTTGGGTTTTCACTCGTCCTCCTACTCATCATCACCATCATCACCACCACCACCACCACCACCACCATCATCATCATCATCATCATCATCATCATCATCATCATCATCATCATCATCATCATCATCATGATCATGATCATGATCATTATCGTCATCCTCATCGTCATCGTCATCATCATCAGCATCATCCCCATCACCGTCCTCGTCTTCATCCTCATCATCACCACCGTCAGCGACATCATTACCATTACCATCATTATCATCATCATCATCGTCATCATCATTGCTAGCCGACCGCTCAGTGGTTGGTCGGGAGTTTATGTATATACAAGAAAGGGCGCTTGCTTGTGGGCGATAGGACAATGAGCGGGAGGCTGTGGTGCCGCGGGTGAGGACGAGGAGGGTGAGGATCAGGAGGGCGAGGCTCGCCCTTCTGATCCTCACCGCCTCATCCAATTCTGCTCTTCTTCTCCTCTTCCTCTCCCTCCTCCACCTCCTCCAACTCTCCTCCCCCTCCGCCGCCTCCTCCTCCTCCTCCTCCTTCTTACCTCCTCCCTCCTCCCGTTCTCAGTCCTCCCACGTCTTCCTCCCTGCTCATCCTCGTCATCGTCCTCGGGGGCCTCCCTCGAGGGGCGATTTGTTGACTTTCCCAGTGTGCCTCGAGCGGGAGCCCCAGATCGCGACACGCCCAGGTCGACTTTCGCGATGTCTCGAGCGACAGCCCGGACGGGGACACGCCCAGTGCGCCCCGCGTTCCCCGGCAGATCCCCGGAAATGGTCCCTGGGGGCGCGGGCCTGACTTTCTCGCGCGCGGGGGGTCGACTTCGAGAGGATGTCTCTATAGCGAGAGCCCCGACTGGGACGCGGTGTGCCCTGGCGCGCGCCAGCAGATCCCTGGAAATGGTCAATGGGGGCCCAACTTTCCCGCGCGCCGGGGGTCGACTCTGGGAGGATGTCTCGAGCGAGAGCTCTATAGACTGAGACACGCGCCTTGTGCGCCCCGGCGCGCGTCTGTGGGCCTCAGGGGAGGTTGGGGGGCCGGTTTTTTTTTGAGGATGTTTCATGAGAGGGCGCTGCTTTGGAAATCGTCGCCGGATTGCCCGGAGTTCCCGGAACTCCTGGATTCGCCGGATGTCCGAGAACGGAACAGAGGGGGCCTCTGAGGAACTCCTGGGGGAGGCTCGGGGGGCCTGTTTGTTGAGGACGTCCCCCGCCAGGGCGCCAGTTTGGAATTCGTCGTCGGGTTTCCCAGATTTTCGGGGTTTTTCGGATTTCCCAGATTTCCCGGAAGACGGAACAAGGGGGGCGGTTGGCGGGCCTATTCCTTCGCGCGCCGGGGGTCAGCATGATCTGAGTTCTGAAGACAAGGTCCCTCAAGTCATCCTCCTCCTCCTCCTCATCATCATCACCATCATCATCATCATCAGCATCATCAGCATCATCAGCATCATCATCATCGCCATCACCATCACCATCACCATCACCATCACCACCACCACCGTTTCCATCATCATCATCATCATCATCATCATCATCATCATCATCATCATCATCATCATCATCATCATCAGCGTCGTCGTCATCATCATCATCTCCATCATCATCATCGTCATCATCATCATCATCATCATAATCTTAATCATCACCACCACCAACATCATCTTCTCGACCATCACCTTCACCATCATCATCACCACCAGCATCGTCATCGTCACCGTCATCATCAGTATCAGCATCACTATCAGCATCACTATCAGCATCATCATCACCACCACCATTACCACCAAAATCATCATTATCATCATCGTCTTCATCATCATCATCATCACCACCGTTATGCTCATTATCATCACCATCACCAACGCTATGACCACCATCATCATCATCATCATCATCATCATCATCATCATCATCATCATCATCATCATCATCATCATCATCATCATCATCATCCTCGCTTTCATCGTTATCATCACCAGCAGCATCATTATCATTATCATCAACATCATCATCATCATCATTATCATCATCATCATCACCATCACCATGATCTCCATCGCCCCTGACTGGCTTACAGACTTCGAACGCGCACCACAGGCCCAAGACAGCCGAGGTGTCACACGTCACGGCGTCAAGCATCTTGCTCCCAAGGCCACCTAAAACGGCCTCACGAAAATCGCACCACGTGTTACGGCTCTTCGAAAATTGGAGATACAAGTTGTCACACGTTAAGACCTCAGTGCTCCCTGGCAGACCATCGAGAAAGCTGGGCTGGCACGGTGGCGGGTCTTACCGCAGGCAGCTGGATATTCATTCAATCAGGACTGAGGACCGAGGAGTACAGACACCTGATGGCACTCCAATTTGTTCTTCGCGTCACGGTGGCGGATATCACAAGAGCAGATGACATTTGCACCACGTGTCGCCAGCAACGATCCCGACAGAAGGGGACGACTGAGCGCGAGCTCGGATCCAATATGCACAATGTGCTCCCAGCCCTTCGCAGACACAGAGACCAAATAACGTTTGGAATTGACGACAACGTGTTGCTGTTTGTTTATTGTCAAAGACGCCGACAGCTATACACAGGAAGTGGCCCAGAAACGACAATGGTGGAACGGAGGATGTTATCGACAACCTACACGTTGCTTTAGCCACTCTGGCAACTACTCCAGTATCGACTTCTGTGCACTTCTCTTTCCCCATCCTACATCCAATTTCCGACTCCGGCCCCCGTCCTTCCATCTTTGGTCCTGGTGTTCATCATTCCTCCGACTCTTGCCCCCGTCTTTCCGATTCGTTTTTGCTTCTCCGTTTCCAGTTCCTATCCCCACAATTCGGGCACCCGGGCTCGATCTTTTCCTCTCTTGCGTCTATCTCCTCTTCTCTTTCTCACATCTCCGTCTGCGGCTCTTGTCCCTGCGAAGCCAGCACCCACGTTCCTTCGAGTGTTGCTCCTATTTTCCGACTTCGGCTTCCGCTTCCGATTTCGGCGCGAGTCTTGTCATCATCTCTCCGCTTGCGCTTCCGATTCTGGCATGGTCTTTGTGTACATCCAATGTCCAGCTTCCAACCTTCGGGCCACCCCAATCCAACAGCAATTCCCACGTGAACGAAGGATTGCAAAAAAACCCAGGATTGCAAAAAAACCCTTCGCAAAACCCTGGGTTTGCAAAAAAACCCTGTTTTTTTGCAATCCTTCGCAAAACCCAGGATTGCAAAAAAACCTTGTTTTTTTTTGCAAAACCCAGGGTTTTTTTTGCAATCCTTTGCAATCCTTCGTTCCCGAGGGCTCCGCCCCCCCGCGCTGCCCTCTTAGGGCTGGCCCGGTTGCGCCGATATCGCGGGCTTGCCTCGGTCTGCCCCTCCCAGCTGGAGGGCAGTGTACTTTCCTTCTCGAGCGTCCTCATCAGCGATGGCCGCAACCTATTGCTGACCAGCCTGGAACATAGCCCCATCTTTGTGCTTTGCATCACCGCATCTCGATGCCGATCTTAGGGGATCGTCTTAGTTTCTGAGGGCCCATCCCCAAGATTGTCGTCGCCTTTTGGCTTGTCAACTTTGGGGATAGGGTTCGAGGCTGGTTTTTCGCGGGAAACTTTATCAGGGCAGTTGCCGCCGTTCGTATCTGTACTCCTCCGCTGCCGCGCCCCCTCCCCCATCCGCTTGCCCTTGCGCTGCCCCCGTCCATCCTCTCCCTGCCCCCGCCCTCTCTATCTCTCCCCTCCCCTTCCTCCTCCGCTCCACCGCAATTCCTATTCCCTTTCCCCCTCTTTTACCCGCATCTCCCCTATCCCCCTCGCCCCTCCCGTTCCGTTTGCTCACTGCACACCCCCATTCCTTGGTCTCCGTTTCCAGTTTTCCATTTTCTTCCTGGCACACCTCGTCTTGTTTCCTTCGCTCTCCTCCCACCCCCCTTGGCGTGAGGAGTTCGAGTCGT